CAGATAGGGATTTTGTTCCTTCTTGAGCATTCCCTGCATTTAGATTAAAATAAGGGAGATATTGTCAATGGTTGTCCTTTTAAATTTCAGCTTAATCTCGTTTCAAATTTTCCCCTTTACAGTCTCTTCCTCTGAATTTCGCTTTACATCTACGTTTTACATATGAAAAATGTAATATAAATTTTCTTAGTAATATTTTTCTATTGTTGAGCTTGACACAAAATGTTTGAAAAAAGTACACCGTATAGTTTTCTATTATTTATGCCTGTTCCCACCAATGCAGATTAACTTTAATCTCGGTTTAACTTACTGTTCATCTTTTTCTAATTTTTAGAATTAGATAAAGATGAAGAGCAAATTGAACCGAGATTAAAAGCTAATCTGCATTGGTGGAAATGGGCATTAGACATTTAAAGTGCGTTCCGTTTCGCACATGATGCGTATGATGCATCAATTGTCCTTGTTTAACATTTAGTGAGCAGCAAAGATAAACGATGCATTATGCGCATCATGCGAGAAATGGAACGCACTTTTAGAGTATGGTGATTGTTCAATCATATTTGGAGCAAAATAATTTTGAACCCATTTTGTTGTTGAAGCGCCATCTAGAAATTTATTGAAAAAGTATCTACATTATAAACAGTCGATAATAGTTCCGACGTATGATAATTATTAAATTAGTTAATTTATGTCGCAACATTAATAAATTTATTTATTTATTATATGTATAATCATTTAAAGTATACCGTAAATTTCAAGATGACATTTATACGGACTGTTTATATTATTTTAACATTTTTCTTCCAATGTAAACAATGTAAATTATTATCTATTAATTGAACATAATAGAGAAAAAAATAATTTTTTAAAGATATATTATATTCCTCTAATAATCGAGAATTTTGGTTAAAATGAATTAAAATTTTTATGTGTATTTTAAATCTATTAATATTGAATCCAGTTAAATAAGTAAAGCTTTTTTTTATTTAACTGAATTCATTTGCATTAAAAAATTGCATCTCTTATTCATAATTTTAAATTGAGCAGAGTGTTTACGAAAATGCATAGAAAAGATGATATTTTTAGATTGAAAGGCATAAAAATATGCTTTATAAAATTTCTATACAGAAATAAAAGTGCATTCGAATTCTAAAGAATTTATTTAACATTCGTCAATGTGTATTTCTAAAAGTCTGAATTTATTTCAATCCATTCTCGTTTATTGGGATTGTATCTTAACCCTTCATGGTTACCGTGGGTCAAAATAACTCGAGCATAGTATATAAGTCATTTCAACAGTATTAGACTAAAATAAAAATTTGAAAATATTATAAATTTTAAAAGTTATAATTTTACAAGTAATAAAAAACTTATATTCCAAAGTTGACGTTTTTTAGTGTAAAAATTAAATTTTTCACTAAAACGCCGCGCGATTTTCTTAAAGGATGAAATTATATACTGTAACCCTATAATATAACATTATAATTTAATATTATTATTTATTATAATTTAAGACATTATTTTAAAATCATATAAGATGTTTTAACATACCTTTAAAACTTCAATTATATCAGAAGGTTTGCGAGTTATCGCCGTGTCTTTCTTCATTATTAATGCCAAAACGTTTCGTGAACCATACTGTTCACTTCATCAGGACGAGGGTTGCGCTGATACGATATACAGAAATTTTTTAATGATATTTTATCGAGTGAATTTTTTTTCAGACGTTAAAGTTGTGTTACGAATTTTTGAATTCAAAATTTGCATTAATGCTACATTGTAGTTCAATATTTGAAGAAGTTTATTTAGACTGGAAAATTTTAGATCTGGAAAATATTAGAATTAAATATAATAATAAAAAATTATGATAATTTATATACAGCGGCGTATCAGCGAAGCGTCTGACGCAACATTGCAACATGTATTTAAATTATCATAACTTTTTTACTATTGAATTTAAAGATCTAAAACTTTCCAGAAAACTTCAAATTAAACAAAAATTTAAAATTAAAGAAAAATACAAAAAATAAAAAATAAAATAGAATACAAAGAAACCTCTGCAATGATCGCAATCTTGATGCGGTGTAGAGGCTTGAGCTTATTGGTGACTAATGTAATCAAATTGATGTACAAAATGTTATATAAATCAACATTAATTACATTTTTATCATATTTAACGTTTTAAACGAAACCTTTTTTGTTTATACTTACCAAATGCGTCACTAGTATAAAAAAGAACATTAGAAAAAACTGATTTCTACAGCTCCTCCCCTCGGAAGCATTTTTCTTGCTATGCCACTGGTAAGAGCTTAAAGTATTTCCTACAAAATTGTTTTTTTTAAATGTTTCTAAGATATTTTAAATTATTACTGTGGTTAAATATAAAAAAAATATAAAAATTGGTTAAATATAAAAAAAAAGAGCATTTTATCTTTAATTATTCATAACTTAGTTAAAAAAAAATTGTATTGCATTCAAAAACTGTGTGGATTCTTGAATTAAAAATTTTATATATTGTCATAATACTATTATTAAATTATAGTATTATCGCTATATTATCATAGTATTATCGCTATATTATCATAGTATTATCACTATTTATCATTATATTATTGTCATATTATTATTGTGTTATTATCACATTATTCACTTGTCTGACTGCTTTTGTTATTGATAAAACTAACATGTCTTATGGAATATTTTAAATCTATTACATCTCATAAATTCAATGAAAAAGTGTGTGTACAAAATAATTATTAAATAATTCCTATTTTTTTTAGAATCACCTAAGAGTACAACTGTGGAAAATATTAAGTTTTTAAAAAAAATTTGTATTTAATTATTAAATATAAAATAGTCCTAAAATATATTCAAGTTAAAGTTAAAAAATTTTTTTAATAAGTATTTGCTTTATTTCTGCACTAAAAAAAAGGAAATACATATTTCTTTAAAATTTAGATTTTTGTTTTTAGTGTGAGCGCTTTAAATTAAAATTTCCTCTTTAATTGGTACAAGTGTACTCATAGGCGTCAACTTTTGCGGGGAGTGTGTGCGGAGTATTCCACACATCAAAATTTTTTACGTGTGCACTTCTACACATGAATATCTCTCGAAGATGTTTTGATACTTCGTAAAGATAAGACAGTTACTTACAGATAATGATTTCAAAAAAAGTTATTAATTCAAGTACTTTTAACAATATACTATTGTAATGATAATATGTTATATACTGCACAACGTTCTTTTTCAGCCTTGAGAAGGTTGAAAACATATTTGCATTCCATGATGTAGCAACCCAATGGGGAGAGAATGTTTTTTAAATGTTTAATGAACATTTATACGTTTTTTAAACGTTTTAAAGACGTTTAAAAAACATTCTCTCCCCATTAGGAAGTTCAATTAAATTCAATAATTACAATATATTGCACGTGAATTCCGATATTATTGAGATTTTGGATATTGATGTGCACTTCTGGATAAATTTATTATAAAAAAAATAATTTGAAGTTCAATGTTTACTCTAAATGTTTCAACAAATTATAAGAAAAGATTTATAAAATTTATTATTAAAAGAATTTTTCCTCGTTCAATCTGTTATGATCTTGATATGGTTGTTTATAAAGAAGTCTATAAAGAGATATTAATACGAAAGTAATAGTGAACATTTTATTATGTTTCCCTCCCGTAAGGGTGCTATTTTATTCGTGCGGTTTTGCTGTATGACAAATGTGTGCAGGATAGAGACATCCTCTGATCTCTCTATCCTGTAGCCAATCAACAGGCTTGAAAAATTTGTCTTAGCACTCTTACAATAATAATTGTCCAACTCCACTTGTGGCAAATCGACAAGTCGGCGCCCCTGAGTGTACTCATAATCTGTTATTAATTATCGTATTCTGTTTCTTATCTCCGCAGTTAATCTACTCTTTCTCGGTTCCTTATAGCATGTTAGAAAATCAGTTCCTACTAACGTCAAAGCGCGATAATAGATGTCGAGAAACAATAGTTTTCGAAGAGAAATTATTGCACGAGTCAAAGTCCATTTATAATCTGTTGTTGATTATCACTCTTTCTCTTTTATTCTACATGTTTGCGATTAATCCCTTCATTCTTTTAAACCTTTCAGCATGCTAAATCGATTTCGATAAATAGCAAGATCGAACAGAATATTAGCTCAGTGATGAAGATTATCACAAAAGAATTATTTTCGCAAAAAATCATTTATTATTACTGTTATCCTCATTAACAAAAGGCAGCAAAATTAATAGATTTATATAAGAGCCTAGTAAAGGAAATTGAGTATGTGTTTTTTAAGAAAAAGGTGGATAAAAACTAATCTAATTATTATAAATACGGTAAGCGAATTAAATTTATAATGTTTTATCATTATTATTATTTTGTCTTCATAATTAATTCAATCAGTTTCACGAGTCGTTTTTAAACACTATATTATATTGGATTCAACAGAAAAGCTGACCGCGCACATAATCTCTGATAAGAGTTTTATCAGTCAAAAGTTTGTTTTAGAATGTGAATAAGTTTCTCGAGTAACATATAGTTTTTATTTCACTATATAATTACTGGAAAAAAATTACTGATTAGGATAAAATCCTACTTTAGAAATGTGATCTAAATAGTTAATAAACAAAAATAAATAGATGATTCTTTTTCCATATCCCAGATAGCAAAGTGATGTTTTTTGTCTGGTGTCTGTGATTTTTTGTGATGTTTTTTGTCTGGGTGTCTTCTGTAGCTAATCGACACAAAATCGGTGCTTGTTCGAATAAAAGCGCGGAAGATACGGACTCGAACTGCTGGCATGGACTTTGAGCGGTCAAAGATTGTCCCGTGGATGATGTATAAGAGTAGTTCTCTTTGGGTGGTGGTAGCTGTAGATAAATGATGATTGTCCTGCCGGGGACGTTCCTCAGTGATCAGTTTGAGTATAGCGCGAGATCGAGAAAGTAACGGGAAGACAAAAAAAGAAGTAAATCGTGAAAATGTCTTTTGCTTTGTTGTTGGATCCACCTGGGGCCGAAGCCAGGACTTTTGCTGAGAAGGATCTCAGAGAAACTGAGGAGAACGTGAAAAAGGGCATCGAGACTCTGAGGAAGTATATCGAAGGTTAGTCATTTTATCATTTTTTAATTTAATTCTAAAGTTCTATGTAACATTTATTCGAGTCTTTCAATTTAAACTTGCAAAACCTTCATATTTCTTCGCCTTTTCCAAAATATTGATTAGCTTTTTTTTAACATAACTAACTGTACTTTGAATTTTTTTTTAAGAAAAAATGTGTCTCCGTTAGAAAAAAAGGAAAATATTGTAATAAATTTTTTTATTTTGTGCATTTTTTACTTGCAAATATATAATTTAAAAATATGTAATGATATGCACATAAAGTATGTATTTTAAAATTCTTGATTTTTATTTTTACAAGGCATTCCTTAATTTTAAATTAATCTTCCCTTATTAAAAGTGTTATAAAAATTATAGTTTCCAAGTTATAATATTTAAAAAAAGTCTGTTTGCAAACTAAATTTCTGAAAAGTAAATAATATCTTATTGCTTAATTAATTTCTTTTATGCGAATAAACTTTTTTTCGGTAGGATTTAAGGAAATTTAGTTAAAAATTTGTTACCAATAAAACTTAAATGATTATAAAAATTAAAGATAACTTTAAATTTATAAAAGAAGAGGCATAAATATTTTTGAATTCTATTGCGTGTTTGTTAATAAGTCGTATATAATCTGTTACAAAGTTTAAAACGAAAGATTAACTCATCAAGAGTACAAATACGGCTGTAAGAACAGAATCTTAATGAATCAAATCGTACATAAATTCAAATTCGACTTAACTGACATAATGGGAATGATCGTTACGTATTCTGAAAGTTATGAATAGATTTATTTAACTTTATGAAATAAACATACATTCTCATACATACACTTTTTCTAAGGAATGTTTTGAGAACGTCCATAGAATGTAATAACGTCTTCTGGACGTAGTCTAAAGTCTGTAAGATATCCCTTAGAAATTTGTGTTTCATAAGATTATTCCGAAAATTATAAAAATTTGATATGGACTCGTGGCTATGGAAAACTTTGCCTTCACTTATCTGCAAAAATTGATATTATCGCATAATTATGTTCTTATACCTAATTTTGGCTGCGTTCAGTTTTGACGCTTATGCGCTTCAAGCGCTTAATCATTATTCTGTCTGTATTTTATTATTCATTAAATATAAAAATGAATATAACTGCTGATAGTACTAAAATCGTTCAAAAATACTCGTTTCCAACGTAGATTAATTTTTTTGTTCCACTTAAAGATGTTCTAGAGTGCGTCGTAAACATAAAAAAAAATAAATGTTATATGATTGCCACATCCGGACATAATGATAATTGTCATTTGGTTGTGATAATCGCGTAAGATGCGGACATATCTTAATAGCTATAACTGTTATCATAATCGTATTATAGTTCTTATGATAAAAAAATGTATTGATAAGTGACTTTTAGTCAGGGTAACTGTAGCTACTTTTTTCCGTGATCCTATCCTATCATCAATCGCAATATTTCGCAATAACAAATCAGAAGCGTCAATAATAATTATTGATGCTTTTGATTGACTATCACGAAGCATTCCGATTTATGACTAAGTGTTTGCAATGCATTATAGAACATCTTGTACTCTTTATCTTTTTCTAACTTTCAAAACTGGAAAGAGAAAAGAGAAAGGAGAGAGAGAGAGAGAGAGAGAGAGAGAGAGAGAGAGAGAGAGAGAAAGAGAGAGAGAGAGAAGTGAGGAGTAAGTTAAAATCGATATTAAAATTAATTTATATTAATAGAAACAGGCATTAACTGTTATCGTGTAAGCGTCGATTAAATTTGTTCAAGTTTCTACTAAATAAGTAATAAATAGATGACTATTAAATTAAAAAGATACTCTTTTGAAACATCAAATATCCATTTTTAACTGCTGAAGAAAGAAGCAGTCAAGCAAAGAGCCATTTGAAGTATTCTTTCGCATGTAAACTAAACGAGTCATTCAGAGATTAAGACTTTTCTGTATTTAATGTTACTTTAAGAAAATTATCGAGACCATTTGGACGACATATAGCCGCTGAATAGATGTATTGAAAGATAATATAAGGTTAAAACTGTGACACTCTGATATTTCGTTTCCCTTTATCTTTTCTCATTACAAAACGCTCAGCGGAGTTCGATTCATCTTCTTAAAGTTGAAATTGAATTTCTTAGACCGTGACATTGACTCTTTAAATTGCTATAGTACTTTTACATCAAAACATTACAAAACACTTTATACATATTTTCAGTTTCGTTGCAAAACATTTCGAGTTTAATCATTTGATATTCTAATCTAATTGAATGGAAAATAAAAAGTAATTAATAATTATTAAGACGTAGTTGCGTATTTGCGTTATCATTAAATAATAAAAAATATGAAACCAGTATAGGTTAATACGGTTTTGCTTAAAAAAATTAATCTGAATATTCAAAAGCAAATATGTAATGTGTGTCTATTATTTTTTGTAACTTTATTTTTTAATTATAGTTTAACGTATAGCTGTTTGAATAAACATTACGTATTACGAAGACCATGCATCTAGTAACAGGCGTGTATAGAAAATAAGTGTTGAACATTAATATAACACATACATACTATATTATAAATACGTATTGTACAATTGGGAGATAAAGAAATTTTTTGATATCGATCGATGCACGAGTCAAGTGCACCTTGACTCTTGGACAGTTGCACACGTGATATCACGTCGTTCGAGTATGGCTATAAGGACCTTTCAAGTCAGTAGATATGATTCTTGAAGACTCCTTGAGCGTTTGATGCTTGTTTACTGAAATAATATCTTAAGTTTACACGGAACTGCGTATCAGAACGTTGAATTTGGAGACGAATAACGCAGATGAATTGCATAATAAATTTGGCTGCACGATATGATTCGTTTGCACAATAAAATATAAGATATTATTAGTTTTATTTGGTAATTGAACATTTTGTATTCGTCGCTTTGCGAATACTATTGATTCATAATTCATGAACGTTACACTTGCGAAAAAATTTTTTTAAGAAAAACGTATTATACATAAATATATGTAATTATACTGAAGTAAAATATGTCCATATATAATATATTTTTTTCATTGTATAATTTCTGTTCGTATATACAAGAAAATTAATAATAGAATTAAATAAATAAAATAATAATAATAAGATTGGAAATAAAATTAAGAAATAATATTTTTATTATTTCTTGTATAAAAAATAAATTATAAAAATGAGGAAAATATCCATATATGCGTGCATATATATAAAAGTAATAATTGTGTAATTAAAAAGAATGTCATGTGTTTTATATGAAAAATATGTATTTTTGGCATCCCAATTAATTTATCTCATTATTCTGTGCATAAAAGTATTAAGGTGCAGAGAGTTACCAAAAATAAAAAGTTTATAAGATATTTTAATTTCATGTATCGAAATGTAAATGTGCTAGCTGAATAAAACATAAACATCTCGTAAACTATTAGTTTTTTACACTATTTTAATATATACAGGATAATTAGAAGAATATTATGTAAAAGTCATACATATATACATAGAATGTTGTATATATAATAATGTATAAGATGTAATTTTAATTTTTGTACAGAAAAGAAGTTATTTCTTATAATTTTTTAATTATTCTTATTATTTTTCCTGTAGATAGGTATATGAACAGATATTATATTTTAAAATATAAAACATATGTGTGGACATACTTTATATATATATAATATAAAACTGTACCTACTTTAAATAATAAAAAAATTTTTTACTGTGTTTACAAATTTTTCGGTCTGTCATCCATCGCCGGCATTACACGTTCGTGTGCTTAAGCACCTGTTTAAACTTGAAATAGAAAATAAATAGCGACCCTTATGTGCAATTTCCCTAATAAGGAGCACTGAAGTAATTGCTTTAAGAATGGGTATCGTGACCTCGCACGCAAAGTCGCCCCAAAGCGATCCGACATTTTTTATATCATTGAAGCGTGAGATGAGCAGAAATCAGCGAGAAGCTGACAACTATAAATAATGGATTTTATATATTGTTTGCCGACTTGATGATTAATAATCGCAAACCATACTCGTTCGTGAGAGATTACTTTATTTTTAATCAGTCATTCCCGTTCAAAAGTCCGTGCCTTGTAACTTTGTTGATTATAATGACACACGCGATTGACTATGTACCTTGATCGAGAAGTATTTTGATAATGTGACAGAACGATTCAAAGTCCGATGATTCTCACAGATAAGAGGAATGATCAGCTGGCGATGAATCATGAATTCATCATTGTATTAGAAAGACGCGCATATAATCATATCGTCGGCTATTTATATCATTCACGTGCACAAGGTTGTTGTGTTGAATTTTTGTAATGATATACAGATATTATTGTACTATATACATATGGGGCATTCCACGCCAAGTGGGCCACCCATTTTGCGAAGTTCCATGGATTTCGTTCATATTGCGTGAACTTGAACAGTTTGATAAATAAAGACTCTATGCCAAATAATATACCTGTAGGCCAACTGGTTACCGAACTGTAGAACCGTCAATTTTTGGGCTTTCTCGTTGCAGCGCTCTTTTCGCTTGTCGTTAGTGGGCATGAAAGGCAATTTTGAAAATAAAGTGCAAACGTATTCTTATACAAAATTGAACGCTCTTTCATGTAAGAATATTCTTTTTTTGATCAAACCGGTTTACGATGATGTTTTTCAGTTTTGAACTTTTCAAAATGGCGGCGCACCTAAAAGGCCACTCTCAATTTTCTTTTAATATAGTTCAAAATGTAGCTCCAGGTCTCTACTTTGTTACTCTAAAAGAACTTAATGGGACACGCATTCGTTTGGGAGTAAGAGCTAGGAAAGTGAGGAAAATGAGTGGTGCGGCAGGGGGACGGAGCGACATTGCCTCACTTTCCTAGCTCTTACTCCTAAACGAATGCGTGTGCCATTAAGTCCTTTTAGAGTAACAAAGTAGAGACCTGGAGCTACATTTTGAGCTATATTAAAAGAAAATTGAGAGCGGCCTTTTAGGCGCCCCGCCATTTTGAAAAGTTCAAAACTGAAAAACATCATCGTAAACCAGTCTGATCAAAAAAAGAATATTCTTACGTGAAAAAGCGTTTAATTTTCTATAAGAATACGTCTGCACTTTATTTTCAAAATTACCTTTCATGCCCATTAACGACAAGCAAAAAGAGCGCTGCGACGAGAAAGCCCAAAAATTGGGTGGCCCACTTGGCATGGAATGCCCCATATATATATATAATACAATAAAGTTATAATGTAATATAATATAATTTTTTATATATTATATATATATATATGTATATGGTAACAAATATTTGCAAACATCAATTTTTAACAATATATCTATTCGATAACAATTTAGTTTGTTAAGAAAAGGTTAGCTAATTTTACAACCAGAGAGACATTGATGTTTTTATATCTTTATCTCGCTTTTATATTTATATACCACTGATATCGTTGAAGTTAATAAAATTATTACTTCTGTTCCAGAGGACAAAACAATTTATTTTTGTACCGACGATGATTTCCTCATGATCTTCCTCCGACCTTGTAAATTTTATCCACACAGTGCGTTTGAACTAATGAAACGAGTCGCAGACTTCAAGGTGAAGCACGCAGCCCTGTTGCATAATCTAATGCCGGATGATGAAAAGGATGCTTTCACTGAACATAAGATTGTTAATATTTTTAAACATAGAGATCACAAAAATCGTAGAGTGATGTTAGTAAATTGCGGAAAAAACTGGGATCCATCAAAAGTCTCCAGCGATCAAATTTTTCGAATGTTCTACTTGATACATGAATTAGCCATGTGTGAACCAGAAACGCAGGTGCGAATAAAATATTACAATTATTGATTATGTCTTCTCTTACATATACATGCACAAATTAAATAACTAAATTATTTATAATTAAATTAGCTTCAGACAAAAATGCAAATGTGTCTGAATACTTTTATAATATCGAATTATGAAAAATACAAAATAAATTTAAATTAAATTAAATATTTCTTCTTTGCATGTACAAATTTTTGTGTTAGGAATTATTACTATACAAAAATGAATCACAGTGTTATGAATTTTACCTATGCGTGTACATAATCATCAGGTTGAACGTGCCATAACTCACGATCAGCAAAATTCCATAATTGCCTTGACTATGCAAAAAAGGAAACTTAAATTTTCGCAATTACTGCCAGAGAAAACAACATTATAAACAGTATTAACGGCGTTAGTAGTTAAATTTAGATATGTTAATTAAATTTAGCTAGCAGTAATAAATTATTTAAATTTTAACAAAGTTAAACGTCAGATTTAATTTTGATGGACGTAAACGCGAGTTAGACATGCACTTTGCTCGACTGTGATAATTAATGAATATTTTAATATAAATGTAAGAGAGAAAGGAGAGAGAGAGAGAGAGGAAATATTAAATTTTTCTTGTCAAAATGAAATAGGTTAATATTGTTAAATAGTAAATATTTCAAATTATAGTTTTTTAAATTATCTTATTACAAGAGTGTGCTTAATTAAATAAGAAAATTCCTATATTTAGTCAAAACGAATCTTAGTGCTTAAATATTTCTGTGTAAATTTATATATATACATATATATATATATATACATATATATATATCTGATTCTGCAATCTGAGTGTTGAAATTTGTTTCGGTTTTGAAATGCAATCATGATTACAACTGGAGTAATAATATTACTTATTAAATTGACAAACAATTTAATAATTTTGATACAAATAAAATCGTTATAATAATATTAATAATTAGGTGTTAACAAGAATCTTAAATATTTCAATAATCTTAAATATATTTTTACAAGTGTGTTTATTCTTTTTTTTTTAGATATTTGGTTCTGTGGTGATAATGGATTTTGATGGGTTATCCATGAAACAAATTACGGGAATGTCACCATCCTTTAGTATGAAACTTCTGAGTTTTATTCAGGATGCAATGCCACTGCGTTTGAAAGAAGTTAGTATTAATATATATAATAGCAGATAAAATTACACAAAATTACTTTAAGAAAAGAAAAGTCATCTCTACTTTTACATCTTGCAATACGTGAATTAAATATTGATAACAATAAATATTAATATAAGATAATAATCAGTCCATATGATGCTCTATCTAGGCTTTGATCTTCTCTAACTTTTTGCTGAAAGTTAAAAGCTGATGGTCAAATTCAAAAGAGGAGACATTTCTAAATGTTAAAAAATATGAGACATATTTGAAATATTCTTACATGAAATATATTTACATGAATGTTATAAATCTTTTAAGAATACATAGCATTTGAGTCATATTGGGGGTACATTATTTGTATTTAATATAACCTAAATGTTACTCTTTTTCCTAAAATCTTTATTTAGTATATTATATTTTTCACTTTTAGAAAGTAAACAAATTAGAGAAATGAAGAATAAAGTAACTGAATATAATATTACTTTTATGAAATTATAATATAAGTTCATTAACATATTGACATTTATAATATAATTGACACGTAAGAATTATATATGATGAATTATTTTTCAAACAATTGACTTATTTATTTATTTATCTATTTATTAACTTATCTCCAACGTTTATAGCAGGTAAATTGTAATCCATGATTTGGATCAATAACAAAAGTATAAGACAAACTTTACAAGCGATGTGTGTATAAATTACAACATAACTACGACGTTTCACATTTCGCTTTATTAACAATAACAGAATGAACAAATTGAGCAATAAACTAATGCAATTGAGTCAGACAGACATTATTAGTCAGTCAGACATGACTTATTAATATTATTTGTTAAATTTACCTTTATAATTACACACAAATAGCGAGTAGGATATATATTGGGTATTAGGTCACACATAGAATCCGGTTATCTTACTTACTCGTTTTATTTGTGACCATTTTACATTCTCGTAAATCAATATTATCATAATACTAAATATTATATCTACATTCTTATTTTATATTAGATAAATAGTATATAATTCTAATTGTATTATTATGTTGCACATTTTAATTACATTTTATATTTCGTTAGATTCACTTTGTGAAACAACCGTTCCTGTTTAAAATGGTATGGCAAATGTTCAAACCATTCGTCAGGGAGAAATTGAAGAATCGCATGTTCTTCCATGGTTCCAAAATGTCTTCCTTCCACACTCACATTCCAGCCAGTCATTTGCCAAAAAACTACGATGGTGAACTGCCTGAAATAGATTATTCAAGTACCGACTGGTATCCAGTAATGATGTCTCATGAAGAAAAGATTAAAGGTATAAAATAAAATTGATAAAGGAAACTATATCAGTCCTAGTCCATAAATTGTTTAAAAACAAAATTTTATTGAATAAATATAAGCAGTTTTCACACTCACACATTAAAAGAAACCTGATAATATTAAATTTAATCATATAAAAGTGGTACAAGATTAGTCCATTTTTTAAATTATCTATTAGAAAAATTCTTATAAATTACTATTAATAAGTATTAAACTTTACTAAATTGCAATTTCAATGTTTTTATATAATTAAGTTTATCATACATAAAATGGAAGTTAAAACTGTAATACATAAATACATCTACACACATACATACATAATTGATATATCTATTTGTTTGTTTTATAGAGTGGAACACTTATGGGTACGTAGAGAATAAATAAGCTGAATTTTCATCAGAGATTGTCGTAGGTATTATTAAATATATTTTTTGAAATTTTTTCAAGTAAATTCTAGATTTATGGACAATTTAATATATTGTATATATAATATTTCAAAAGTACAATGTATATTTTATATACAAATAATTTTTAGAAATCGAGTTGTTTTGTATTCGTGTGTATATATATTATTCTGTGTTAATAATAAAAAATTGATAAATAAAGAATATAGTGGCAAGAAAATTGTTATAATATTGCATTTTTAGTGAAAATTAATTTGTAATTCATAAATTTGAAACTTTGAATTGTGTTAGCGGATGTAAGTTATTAAAGTATGTTTTATACGTATCAGACATTGCTATGCAATGCTTCATATTATATGTAATACTATAATTACACAATATAATCCGTATTATACTGTAATATTTGTATTGTTTATTATTATTATCTATTATTGTTATTATTGATATCAATTTGTAAGAAAACAATAGAATTTTTGTTACTAAATTATCAAGTAATGTTATGTGTGTTATAAATGGTCTATTTTATTTTTAAATATTACATAAATTTTCTTATTCATTGCTTAAACTGTAAATTTATTTCCATTTTAATTTTATTATAACCAAAGTGCGAATACTTTATAAATTATTTTATGTATAGAGTTTTTATACCTCTGTGTAAAAGACCAAATATTATTCTATGTGTATAGAAATCTATTCATATCTATGTGTATAAAAATAAATATCATTACTTTTATTCTTCCTGAATGATTTTTAACCCTTTCATTCGAAAATTATTAAACAATACTAAATATTAAATCTGATAAGACCGTACATGTGAGAGAATAACCAATAAGAAACAATTCCTTTAACGGTCTAGCTAGCAGGTCTAGTTAGATTAGATGTTTATATAATTCCGTATGAAAATTTATATACTACATATGTAGTTTTAAACGACGCCACGGCGCGTCGATCAATTTTTTTTTAAATACAAAATTTTGCTAAACTACCGCAGTGATATCATAAGCTAAATTAACTAGCAATTTAATAATTTTTGATATTCTTTACGCATCTTGATTTACAATTATTATAAAATATATACATAATTAATTCTTATTGCAAAAAATATTATTTAGGCCGGGAGTAAAATCGGATCTATTCATGCGAGCGTCCTAAACTTTCAGACTACCGAGACTCTACTGCGGTAGTTTAGTAGAGTTTGTGTTTTAAGACTGAAAAATTTCGGCACACAGTTTAAAAGACTACTTACGTAGTATATACATTTACACAGAATTATACAAGCACCTATAAGATCCAGATATACTGTTAAAGTGTTTCTTATTAATTATTGTTTCTTATTAATTATTAAACACAACTGCAAAAATATTTGTTTACATTTTCGTATAGTTTACATGACAATTATTATACATAAAAGTTATTCTTATTTTAAACAAATACAAAAATTTGAATGAATCATTTGGGATATATGAAATGTGTTATATTCAACATAAATTTTCCAACATGTAGTGTACACTTGAGTAGGTTCATTTATATGTACAGTCATCTAACACTCTATAAGCTAATTACGTAATTCACATATATGAAAATATCAAGGCTACACTAATATTTTATTTCACAATTTATAATACTTTGTAGTTATTTAAAAATTTAAACCGGTTTTTTAATCGATATGACGCGGCACTGGTATGCTGCAAATAATTCTCATTTTGCAAATGTAGAGCAAAAATTTTAGAAAAGATACGCAATTAACGATGCGTAAATTTAAAGATTACAAAATTAGAAGGCTATCCAAGTCACTCTGAAAAAATGTCATGTGCAAATTATTAGATATACATAAACATATAAACAATAAGTTAGTAATAAATAAAATCAAACGTTTTTTAATGTGATCATTCTTAGTAATATAATTAAAAAATATATATTATAATAATAATTTCGGAATTTATATTCTTAAGAACTTCTTTAATTTATTCATTGAATTTTTAATTTATGTGATGCATAAATTATGTGTGTATATTTAGCAATAATAATTAATATCAAACACTTATAAATTTTATTAAAACCAAGATGTTTTTTATTTAATTTAAAAGTATGTTTTTTATTTAATCTCATTTTAATAAAAACGATATCGTCATTGCAATAATATTATTTTTTAAATAATAAAATAATTAAAATTTGAGAATTTTATTGTTTATTTTAGAATGTTGCATATAATAAAAGACCTATGCATAATTTAAGTTTATACATTTATTTAGTAATGTATTTTGTATGAATTTGGTGCGAATTGAAAAATGTTGAATAAATAACGATTTTAAAAATAATCTCTACTTTAAAAGTAATCCCTTTGGCGAAAGGATTCCGTTAGCTTACATTCTCGATTACATACTCACGTCCAGTATCTAGTAATTTTTTACTGCTTTACTAATTACAATGTTTTATATTAATTGGTTAATTAATCATATACGCAAAATGTACGCAATCAAAGCTTTCTCTTCTTTAAAATTGTATAACATATAAATAAATTTAAAAAATCCGAAGACTGTGCGTATAGGGTGTTAAACTTGTAACGAATTCGATTAGATACATTTATAGCATTTTGTATATTGACAGAACTGATGCGCACTTAGTGCACATTAAAGCAATTATACATTACTCTAATCTGAATGTAAAAGTGAGATATCTCAATTGATAAAATACTCAATGTATATTTTCTCAAATAGCACAATAAAATATGTTGAGGATTTCGTGATTTAACTCGTTTCTATTTATTTTTATTAAACATACCTAGATCTTTACGTCAATTTGTATACAACGGCTTTAAAATGCACTAGGTGCACACTAGCTCTGCCAGTGAAAAACGTTATTAGTGTGCACTGATGCACGTTAAAGGGAAAAGATTATAACGGGCTGAAATATGAAAATATCTTTAGGAATTTTACGAAGAAAATGTAAGTAGTGGTTCTTTTAAAAATCTAAAGGATACAATATATTATTAAGTATATTTTTAAGTAAAAAAAGTTTTTTAATTTTATATAGGGCTCATATTCCTGCTGTTCAAAGACTAATAGATACTGCGAAAAAGCGTGGTAAATAATGATGTGATGCAGTATAATGCAGTTTATTTGATATAAAAAAGCCAAGAAGAATATTTTTCAACTCTAAAGCCAAAATATATTTATTAACTATGTATCCATAGTTACCGGCGTATTCGAGCTGTTACAGTATTGTAAAGGCATGTGAGACAGGACCATCAGTACAAGTTCGCCCGATCGAGTTGAACGCAGATGTTACAATCATTATTAATTTGCATTTTACTTTTACACAGATTAAATCAATGTATAACGTCAGTGCTTCAACATGCACTAGTGCGTCCATAACTAAATCTGTTACTAAATTCTCAGTGGGATTCATTTATTCATTATTTTCGTAAACAACCATGCAATGTGAAAATTATTGACGGTTTCTTAATATGGCCGTTAGGCAAGTACAGCATAGAATAAATCATAAATAATATTATAAGGACATTATTATGATCTACATATTTGTCATTTTTAAGTTTCTAATTGATAAATAGCGTCATGATGACATCCGATGATATCATTATGACTTCATTATGATTCTGTGTTCTATTTGAGTATATATTTAGCCTGCGTTCAGAAATATCACCCAGGTTTCCCCGAATATTATCTTATCCTTGTACATTTAATGTTAAAAAAGAATAAGATGATACACAGGGATACTTGGGTGATATCATATTTCCGATCGCAGCCTCAATGTTATTATTTGTTCAATGTTATTGAATATTCCACGGCATTACAAACTGTTTGAGATAATACAGTAGACTGCCGTATAAAACGCATACTTAGATAACGCGGTTATCTAAGTATGCGTTTTATACGCAATAATGTTTGTGGTAACCCTCAATTACGCGGAAAATTACCTTCGTACTACATGGTTCTTTTTTAAATTGTGGCTTAGTACAGTCAGTTCATTGCTGTTGCAATGGCAATTATTTTGAACTTTTGCGATACAATTATTTCTGTACAAAAAGAACAATTTTGCTATATCTAAAATTTTAGCTGGAGATACAGATTTGAAAATAATTTTGTTGCACACTATATTAAAATAATTATGTAGGACGCAAGCATAACAAACAACGTTGCAAAAAGTTTTGACATTTTAGCAACCAGCTTTATCGTTTTATTCATTATTTTGATGGTTCGACAAAATTATTTTTTGATTTCTACATTTTCTACAGATTCAAAAAATGAGTGTCATCTAATTTAGATTTTTATAATTCGAAGCTTGTTCTAAATGTTATATTAGGATTTATCTCCATACTTTATTCCATTTTCCGGGGAATATTCTCAGAACGTTGAGATGTTCTTTGTGGATAATGCAAAAAGTAATAAAAACATTTGTTACGTTTATAAAAAGTTTTAATACTTTTACTGTGTGACTCGAAGATATATTACTCGTATTCCATTCAAACGTTAAAACGCATTGCCAATATCCGGTTCAAGAGGCCAGCTTGTTGATTAAAATTCGACACTCATTAATAACTCAACGTAGCCTAGACCTCTATTAATATTCTATTGTATCTATTAATTGCCTTATAAAATATTTCTATCTTATCATATATATTCGTACAACATAATTTGATAGTAAATCACGTTATAATAAATTTCAGATATGATATCAAAGACTGTTTTTTTTTTTATTTGATTCACTTGATCATCAGGACTCGAAATTATTTAGTAATACACTAATATAAATAGTTTAAATATAAACTATAAATAACTCGTATTGTTTAAATTTTTTCCATGAAAGTAGTTAAGCGTCAACAGTTCGATAATAAATTCAATTAAAAGAAATATCATTCCCAATATCCGTCGTATTTTTTCCTTTATATCGTTAAATTCTGCTATATCAGAACATTCTATGTATAGATGTATAATATTATATTTTAATCTAAAAATGTGAAAAATTGGATTAAATTTAAGTATTTTAATCTTTAAACGTTAAATATTTATTATTATTTTATTAAATATTATGATATGT